AAACCCTAAACCCAAAGAGCCCTTAACCCTAAACTCTAAACTTGGTAGCACTGGCTGCCTTTCCTTACGTGCTCCTGGCAACCTTCCAGCACTTCGAAGAGAAGGGGCCTAAACCGCGAAGCCCCCTTAAGAACCTAACCACCATAACCCCTACCTAGACCCCAAACGTATGCAAAATAATAGCCTTGTTATAGGTCTTGGGCAATTATTTCGCCTACTTTTAGGGGTTTAGGTAAGAATTAAAAATGAATCCCTAAACCCTGAACCCCTCGACTACCCTAAACCCTAAGAGAAGGGGACCCTAAACTCCCAAACTCCTATAAACCCCAAACCTAATTCGAAACCGTTTAGCCTCACTCTGGGAAGGCTTTGCACCACCTGACCCCAGTCGCTCTGCAGCTGGGGTTATGCGAGACGGCCAGGCGCTTCCACACGACTGGGCTTCGGGTTGAGGGTTCCTTTAAATTCTGGTTGAGGGTTGTCGGTTTAGGGCTTAAGGTCTAGAGCTATATGTTTTTTAGAAATCGGGCGTAGCGACTCAGGATTCAAGATTTACGGCTTCGGCCGTTAATGCTGGTTTGGGGGTGTACCGATTTGTAAGATTCGGGCTTATAGACTCTTACTTTGTGTACGGTTTTTACCACTGCTCTTTCGGGATAGGCCAGGTGTACCTCCTTCAACGTGTCCAAAAGTCTAGACACATCTAGCCTAAACCTATGTAAAGCTCTACTGCTTGGACGTACGTTTCCTTGCATGGTGTCGGAAGAAGCAACCAGAAAACCATAGGCTTCAGGCTAAATTAAGTGCGCGAGATACGAACATGCGTCAGGATCTCAAGAACTATAGAGGGTTTCGGATTTAGTAAGTCTGGGATTGATGCTTTGGTGTTTAGAGGCGTCTGATGTCTGCCTCTTCGAGACCAGAACTCCCGCAACTCTAAACCCTAAAACCCTAAGCCCTAAACGCTAAACCCTAAACCCTAAACCCTAAACCCTTAACCCTAAACCCTAACCCTTAAGCCCTAACCCTTAAGCCCTTGAACCCTCAAAGAGTGAAGGCTCGTGGAGTTGAACTACACGGTCAGCCTGCCCGGCGCGCCGGCGCAGGACAGGCTGTTGGCTTTGAGGCTAGGACCCGGAGTAGGCCCTTATTTCCTTTTTTAGGGTTGGGGCTCCCTGATAATCCCCTTAAAACCCAAAAAGGGCACCCCTTTCATTCCTAGGTTACTCCTGGGTCGAGGAGGGCTTGTCCGGATCCAGGCTTTAGGGCTTAGGGTTTAGGCTTTAGGGTTTGGGGTTTGATAAAAGGGGCCTTACTAATTAGAATAGGGTTTTGGGGGATCCTTCGTAAACAAGTAAACAAGTAGATAGAGTATCATGGGCCCCAAAACCCTATTATATTAATAGGGTTTAGCGCCTTTTTTAGGACGTTTGGGGTTTGGAGCTTGGAATGCTCATAGGGCTTCTAGGAGCCATTCTGGGAAGATGTAATCCCAAGGGCCGAGTGGGTCATCTCTGAGCAACAATATGTACACATAGTATGATAACCCTAAACCCTAAAGCCCCAAACCCTAAACCCTACACCCAAAACCCAACACCCTAAGCCCTAAACCGCTCTAGACTGTAGACCCTGAGGCCTCTAAACCGTAAACCCCACAGACAAGCCCAAAGCCCTAATACATGGGCCTTAAGTATCAGAATAGGGTTTGGGGTATAATATACTACAATTATAAAAAGGAGCGCCCAAAACCCCATTCTCATTATTAAGGCCCCTACATTCTCATATGTTAAGGCTTCTGGGCCCAAAGACCCAACTGTGAAATGCTTTCGGGTTTTTGTTGAGTCTTTTTGGGGTAAGCCCTTCCTTGGAGGATCATGGGACTTAGTAAATATGGTTATAAGGACCTTAATGGGGGTTAGAAGTAGTTATAAGTATAGCTACCCTAATAATAACCTTAGTTACTAAGTCCCATGATGCTTTAAGTACACCCCTAAACCCCTAAACCCTATAACCTGACTTACTAAGTACCATGGTCCTTTAAGTATGAAGTCTAAACCCCACCGGCATCATCGTCATCGTCTGCCTCGGCGAGGTCGGTCGCGCCTGGGTGGGTGGGGGGTGTTTTGCCCAGAGCTCCAAATCCCCTCAAGCAAGGAGCAGACCGGATCCGAGTTATATTTATTTTTTTCTTCTTATGATGAGGTATAATTTTTACTGCTTTAAGGTATATTGCTTGAATGAAGGCTTGTGGGCTTTCTATACATCCATATTGTCCTGTTTTTCACTGCTCTACACGTGAGCCTGTAGCCGTGCAGGGCACTTTCGCCTTCCGAGAGCATGCCCTCTGCGGTTACAATGGGTTTAGGGTTTAGGGTGTAGGGTTTAAGGTTTAGGATCTTCGGTGGAGCCGAATCCTCACCAGCTCGTGCTGTTTTTGCGGATTGCGGTGGCTTGGGGTACATGCAAGCAGTGGACAACCGCGAACTTGCCACCGCCAGCAGCATCTTTTGTAATGGGAGAGTTCAGAGGGCTCCAAGGGTGAGATGAAGGTGGGTGGGGTACTCCCAAATTAAGAGTCCTTATGTAAGGGACCTTACTTGGGGAGGCGGCTTAATCCCCTGAAGATGCCTTACAAGGTGGGTTTCGACCTTAATGTAAGGGCCCAAATAACTACCTGTAATTACTATTTTGGGGGCTCGTTGTTATAATTACAGTATATAATCTACCCCGAAACCCTATTTTGATTATTTAGGCTTCCACATTAAGCCCTAACGCCTCAACCGCCTGACGCAAGGCCCATGAACGAGACACAGCGTACCTTGCCGCAGCTAGCTGTTGCCTTGCAATGCGATGATTACATACCATTAACCTACCAGAACCTACTTTTTTGTAGGGTCCCTACAAATACCATATCTGGGTTTATAATAAGAACCTACAAAAAAGTGGGTTATGGTAGGTTAAGGTAAGGTGTAGGGTGCTTTCTGACCCAGTGCTTAAGGCCTCAGGGCTATATGTTCTGCGTCAGGGTTTCAGGTTTTGGGGCGTCTTATGGTTTTTGGATGTTGACGAACAATGTGCGAGCATGGCTTAGCTGGAGTTTGGGCTGCCTTTCGCTGTTGTTTCAAAGATTCCGAGGCCAAAATTCAGGGCTTTGGCAAGTGAAGGGGTCCTTGTGTTTAGTTTCATTATTCCCCCCAAAAAAATTCTCTGTCTTAACTAGTAAGGCGCCCATACTACTGCGTCCTGAAACCACTAAAGAGGAACCTCTATTACAACATGCTGTAAGCTCATGTAGTTAAGGATACACAGCCCCAAACCCTAAACCGTAGAACATGTACCCCGTTTCTTGGCTCCCAACGGTTGGCCATAGAGCTCGCTCCAGGGCATGTAGGGCTTTAGGGTTTGGGGTTTGGGGTTTAGGGTTTAGGGTTTTGGATAGGGTCTACGGCTATAGGGGCCAGGAGCTAAGTCCCAGGCTGTAAGAGGGCATTATTCGGGATGCGGGGCTTTGTCCGTCAAGCTTTAAACCCTCAGCCCTAAACCCCTAGTTCGGGCTGGCGCAGGGGGTTGGACTTCTGTCTTTGGCCAAGATGTAGCGACCTCGTCTGCATGATGCCTATCTGCCTGTCGGTGTCCTTGCTAAGCGGAAAGCGGACCCATATCGAAGCGTCACTTGACAGCTCCGTAGATACATTACGACATCAAGCAGAACAACTTCTCGGAATGGGTCGAAGTCGCTTGATGACATCCTCGGGGTGCGTCCTAGATGGGCACGTTACGGTCGAAGAAGCTGAGCTACGGGACATGGACAATTTGACGCTTTGCTCCGAGCCAGTTCGTGTCGCAAGAAGCAGCTTAGCTTTCTCTGCCATCCTGGGTGATGGATCTCTTGTGCCGTGGGGTGTTGAAAGTACAGTCGTTGAGAGTGTGAAGGAGATCCAGTCGAATGCTATGGCCTTTGCAGCCATCCTTACCGACGGGTCTGTTGCAACATGGGGTCCTCCAAGATCTGGTGGCGACAGCAGAACCGTCCAGGAACAGCTGAAGAGAGTGACGCACATCCAAGCTACCAGGGCGGCCTTTGCTGCCATACTTTTTGACAGATCTGTTGTGGCATGGGGTGATCCAGCAAGGGGTGGTGACAGCGGTGCTGCCCAACAGCAGCTTAAGAATGTGCAAGAGATCCAGGCTAACTCGGTTGCATATGCTGCAATCCTGGGCGATGGGTCTGTTGTGACCTGGGGTCATGATCTTTCCGGCGGTGACAGCACAGCGGTCCAACATCAGCTTAAGAACGTGAGGCAGATCCAAGCCAGCGACCACGCCTTTGCTGCCGTCCTTGCCGATGGATGCGTTGTGGCATGGGGGGCTGCCAAATCTGGTGGTGACAGCAGCGCCGTTCAGGAGCAGCTCAAGAACGTGCAGAAAATCCAAGCTAGCAGTGCTGCCTTCGCAGCCATACGTTCCGACGGACCTGTAGTGACGTGGGGATCGCCAAGATGTGGTGGTGACAGCAGCACCGTTCAGGAAAAGCTCAAAAAGGTACATGCCATCCAATCCAACGATTCTGCCTTTGCTGCCATCCTCGCCGATGGGTCAGTTGTGAGTTGGGGAGATGCTAGACATGGTGGTGACAGCAGCGCTTTTCAGGAGAAGCTCAAGATGGTTCATTGCATCCAAGCTAGCAAAAGTGCTTTCGCTGCGGTCCTCGCTGATGGATCTGTTGTGAGTTGGGGCGATCCTAGCGCTGGTGGTGACAGCTCAGCCTTTCAAAAAGTTCTCCGCAACGTGCAGGCGATACAAGCCAACGACTCTGCCTTTGCTGCCATCCTAGGAGATGGATCTGTGGTGACATGGGGCATGGCTCTTGCTGGGGGTGACAGCAGTACGGTCCAGGAAAACCTTAAGAACCTTGGTGTTCTTCTGTTTGGCTCTTAGGACTTTAACTTTTTGGGTTTCTATGTAACTATAATAAGGAGACTAAAAGTTTAACTTTTTGGAGGGGTTCAGAAGTCAACCAAGGAACGTACAGGCAATTCAAGCCAGCCGGAAGGCATTTGCTGCCATACGGGCCGACGAATCGATTTTACTCTGGGGAGCTTTTCTCCAGGGCTCCGAAGGCTTTATTGCTGGGGAGCGCTGTGCTTGCAGTCTCGTCACCGTGCCTCGAAGATAAGGGGTCGTCAATTACATACTATAACATCCCCTAGAAGACCCGAAACCCCTAAACCCCTAAACCCCTGAACCCTAAACCCCTAAGCCCTGAACCCTAAACCCCTGAA